AGCAGACTTGATGAACAGGAGTAGAAGTCTCAGTCAGGGAGAGAGAACCGATGAGGTTCACATACAGCAGGGCACAGAAAATACTTTGACGCTAGACTGTTCCAGATAAACAAGACAAGACAGGGTAAGCAATTAACTGTTCAGACATGAAGGTAGCAGAAGACGTAACGTGTGACATGCAATAATGATCCGACGAATCTACCAGAACAAACACCAGATAAAGGGTGAACACTTAGGGAAAAGTAGAAACAGGTCTCGAAGCAAATCAGCGCGTGCAATGACTAACAGGTGCACGTAGAGAGGCCTGCAGAACAGAGCAGAAGAGAGAAAGTGTGTGTGCGTGTGCGTGTGTGTGTGTGTGTGTGTGTGTGCGCGAGTGAGAATCAAAAGGGAAGAAAAAACTGACTCATGACAGTACCCCTCCCTCAACGAGCGCCTCTAGGCGCTCGAGGAAGGAGCCTGACGGGACCGGTAGAAGTCATCAATCAACGAGCGGTCCAGGATGTCCCGGGCTGGAATCCACCGCCTCTCCTCAGGACCTTACCCCTCCCAGTCCACCAAAAACTGGTGACCACGCCCCCAAGGACGAACGTCGAGGATCCTGCGGACTCTGTAAATAGAGGCCCCCTCGTCAATAGCAGGAGGGGGACGAGAGGGGCGGGCAGGCGCACGAATAACGGGTTTAATGCAAGACACATGAAAGACCGGATGGACACGGCGCATCTGACCGGACAGTCTAAGCTTAACAGCGACTGGACTGATGACCTTTACAATAGTAAAGGGCCCAATAAAACGAGGCATAAGCTTGCGAGACGTCTATTGAATAGGTAAATTGCGGGTGGATAACCACACCTTCTGACCGCAAACATATCTGGGAGGTCTTACTCTGCAGCGATTGGCGGCTCGACGAGTACGTTCTCTAGTTTGACATAAGGCAGATCTCACCTTCCTCCAAGTACCTTTACACCTCTGAATGAAAGCTTCGACGGACGGAACTGAGGCCTGAGACTCTTGCGAAGAAAAAACAGGCGGTTGGTAACCGAGGCAACCCTCAAACGGAGATAACCCATTAGCGGACGATGGAAGAGAATTATGGGCATATTCGGCCCAGGGTAACTGATCGCACCATGACACGGGATTCTGAGAGGTGAGACTACGCAACATGCGACCAAGAATCTGATTGGTCCTCTCGGCTTGCCCATTGGTCTGTGGATGGAATCCTGACGACAGACTGGGGGAAGCCCCTATCTGGCGACAGAATTCCCTCCAGAACTGAGAGGTGAATTGAGGACCTCTGTCAGACACAATGTCCAAAGGAAGACCATGGATCTTGAATACGTGATCCACCATAATCAACGGTAATTTAGGGAGCGGAATAAAATGCGCAGCCTTAGAAAAACGGTCCACGACAGTGAGAATGACCGTATTACCAGCCGAAAGAGGAAGCCCAGTAACAAAATCCAACGCGATATGAGACCAGGGACGGGAAGGAATGGGAAGAGGATTGTTCCTCCCGCCGGAGGATTGTTACTAGATTTGGTCTGAGCGCAGATATAACAAGAAGCAACAAAACGGCGAATATCTCGCTCACGAGTGGGCCACCAGAATCTCTGACGGATAACTGCTAGCGTTCCTCTAACACCGGGATGCACGACTAATTTAGAAGAATGCCCCCAGCAAAAGAACCGTCGAATGAGCGGCCTCGGGTACTTACAAAGTTACCTTAGGAGCGCGGGGTGATCGCGTGGTGTCCCAAAGTGCACGCTTAACCGCTTGTCCCACTCCCCAGACGGCTACCCCGACCACACAGCGCTGAGGTAAAACCATCTCATCGGTCGAGGCACCCTCTGACGAGTCGAACTGCCGAGAAAGAGCGTCTGGTTTGAGGTTCTTGGAACCGGGTCTAAACGAAATAGAAAAATCAAAGCGATCGAAAAATAATGCCCAGCAGGCCTGAAGAGCGTTTAGACGTTTCGCTGAGCAAATGTACTCCAGATTGCGATGATCCGTCCAGACAATGAATGGTACACTGGCTCCCTCAAGCCAGTGTCGCCACTCACCAAGTGCCAGAAGGATCGCCAGGAGTCGTAGTTGCGCTCCACGGGCGAAAGACGGTGTGAGTGTTGCGACAAGATAGCTCCTACCCCACTGTCGGAGGCATCGACCTCAATGACAAACTGACGTTTGATCAGGAGTGATCAGGATGGGCGCTGAGGTAAAAAGCCTCTTTAGACGGTCAAATGCATCCTGAGCAGTCTCTGACTAAGCAAACCTGGTCTTGGACGAGGTGAGAGCGGCAAGGGGAGTGGCAACCTGGCTAAAGTTTTGAATAAAGCGCCGGTAAAAATCTGCAAAACCCAGAAATCGTTGGAGCGCGACTCGAGAATCAGGGACAACCCCACCGAGAACTGCTCGAACCTTGTCAGGGTCCATACTAATCCCCTCCGCTGAAACAACCGAACCGAGAAAAGTAAAAAGAAAAGTAAAAAGAAAAGATTGGGCGTGAAAGGCGCATTTCTCAGCCTTAACGAATAGGCGATTCTCTAATAAGCGCTGCAGGACACGACGAACGTGTTGAAAGTGTACTTGGAGGGATGGTGAGAAAATTAGGATGTCATCCAAGTAAACGAAAACGAAAACATTTAGCATGTCTCTCAAGACATCATTTACTAAGGCTTGAAATACAGCGGGAGCGTTCACCAGGCCGAAAGGTAAAACACGATATTCAAAGTGTCCGACAGGAGTGTTGAACGCGGTCTTCCACTCGTCTCCCTCTTTGATACGCACCAAATGGTAGGCGTTGCGCAAGTCTAACTTTGTAAATATCTTTGGGCCCTGTAGGATCTCAAAAGCAGACGACAAAAGAGGCAAGGGATAGCGATTCTTGACTGTTATGTCGTTCAGCCCTCGATAGTCGATACAAGGACGCAAAGACCCATCTTTTTTCTTTACAAAGAAAAACCCAGCACCGGCGGGAGACGAAGAAGGAACAATGATCCCCGCGTCGAGAGACTCTGTGAGATATTTTTCCAGAGCCTCTCGTTCGGGCGCAGAAAGAGAGTACAGTCTATCGCGAGGAGGCATGGTGTCAGAAAGGAGTTCGATAGAGCAGTCGTACGGACGGTGAGGCGGTAAAGAAACCGCCCGGGAACGACTGAAAACCGCAGATCATGGTACTCCTCCGGGACTCCAGACAAATCATCAGACTCTTCCTGAAACACAGAAACAGAAGACACGGGAGAGACAGCAGATACAAGACAATTTACAGGTGCAGGTAGAGAGGCCTGCAGAACAGAGCAGAAGAGAGAAAGTGTGTGTGCGCGTGTGTGTGTGTGTGTGTGTGTGTGTGTGTGTGTGTGTGTGTGTGTGTGTGTGTGTGTGTGTGTGTGTGTGTGTGTGTGTGTGTGTGTGTGTGTGTGTGTGTGTGTGTGTGTGTGTGTGTGTGTGTGTGTGTGTGTGTGTGTGTGCGAGTGAGAATTAAAAGGGAAGAAAAACCTGACTCATGACAACTACATTCCTTCAAGAAATATTATGTGGTTATTTTTCGGTTGTTGTGAAGCAATTCTGGGTCTGAAGACGGGGTGGCTTCATGCTGTTGCACATTCATTTCACCACCTTCCATTTTTGCTGTGGCTTTTCTCCCCTAGACCAATCAGGAAATTGTAACACATATATTGTCTGATGCATGTGAGAATGAAAATGTTGGTATTTAGAAACACTAATTTCTAGTACTACTGTAGCACAAAAACATCAATAAACATCATGGACTTTGAAATAATGGCAAATCTCTTTACTCAATATCAGCCCATTATATGTCCTCCCTAACACCATTTCACAATTCTGGGTGATAGATTGTTATTGTTTTTTTTTTTTTTGCTGTCCGAGCCAGGTAAAAGTCATGCTATAAGAGATAACACTAGGTCAAGAATTTAATTAATACTTTTTCCAGTCCAAAATTACTCATTGTTTTGGCTTAGGCAAGCGAACAGTGTCAGAAGTGGAGTGTACTTTCCCTTCATTGGGATTTTCCTATAAAGCACTGCTCCAGACTTCCAGTACCACTTGCAGATATTCCCGATTACCAGAAGGAAAGGGCAGGGGCAGGGCCATGAAATCTGGTGGATTTCATGGATAAAGACATAGAAAGGGAAATGTGTGGATGTGTTCAGTAATGAGGCTGGCTGATCCTAAAAGGTCTTTTTTATTTTCATTCATCCATCCCAGGAAACCATATATCAGTAAAGAAACATTCCATACTTAAACTTTGACAGTCTAGTTGGTGAAATATGAAACGTTCTATGGTTAAAATCTCACATGATGATGTTTTGTCAATGTTGATGACCATGTTCACCGTTTATACACGCGTGCTGTTATTAGCGTGAACTCTTTATCATATTATTTTGGTGATTATCAGTAGGCTACATTTTAGTTCGAGTAGCCTAGGATATAACTTCATTTAAATTAAAAAAACAGTTATAAGTTGTATAATAATCAGGTACCAATATAACATTCCGTTGCCAACCTGAAACAATGTTACAGTATTTTGACGGTGATTCTCTTGCAAAAAAATAAAATAAATAAATGCTGGATTTTAGACGTAAATGTAGCAGGATATTTTTACAGCATATCGTTTATAGTCCTATAGCAGAATGTCAATGTTACTTTATTTATTGTTATAAATAATTATAAACTATTTGAAATCACGATTTAACCCAAATCAAGAAGAAAAACGGACATTCACTCAGGAATTAAGGTAGGGATTTTTTTCACCGAGCTCAGTAATGTCTTTGTTTATTTCTATCTTGCTTTTTTGTTTATTTCTCTTACTGTAGCCTACTATAAATAAACTTGTTTAGCCCGCTTCAGTTGGTTAATATTGGATCAGCTCCGTTCGGGAAAAACTGTGATGTTGTAAGATGTGCTCCGCCCAACCGGCGCCTTGGGCGGATGGAGACTATAAAAAACTGTCCGCAAGTTTATCTTATCCACAAACAGTTCTAGATGAATGAAAAAAGATAGAATTGAAATTCAGTTTTTTTTCTTTTTGCGCACCTGATATCACGATATTTGTTTTTTCTTCATCAGAAGAGATGGCAAAAAAGCTCGGAAAGCTAAACTTTTTTAAACGGAATTACAAAAAGACCGATACAGGTAAGAGTTATAGATGCTCATTAAGTCTAGCCTAAGCTATGTTCAGTAGCCTAAACAATCACATTTTAGCATTTTGTAATTGGATATACAAAATTCCATCTTATTTTGTATAGAGTTATTCTCAGAGTCATCTTGTTTATAAAGATATGCATTGACATTCTACATTTTACAGAAAGAAAAATAACACGAAAGATTTTGTTATGAATTTATGTCCATATTTTATTATGAATTCAGCAGTAGGAAATCATTTAAAACCACAAAAAGAAAAAACTTAAGTGTAATTATATTTTAAATGTATGTTATTAGTAAAAAATATATCTATAGGCTATTTAAGTAAAATTATTGTGCTGTTGTAGCTAGGTTAGTTGTAGTTAGTTACTAGTTTAATCAAATTACGTTTACACTTTATTTTAAGTTGTCCGTGTTACAGTGTAATTATACATTTAATAATGATAATGAGTAATAATAATATATTTACTATATAGGGTTAGGGTGTGGTTTAGGCTAGTTGCATGAAAAGCACAATTTATAGTTATTACATAGTAGCTACCTACGTGTGTAACAAGGACACTGTAAAATAAAGTGTTGCATAAATTACTAGTTAAGAAAATCACACTTGTGACATCAATTATTGTGATGAAATTATTGTGTGAAGTTCAAAGGATGGAAACAAAGATTATATTTACCAATTGAGTTTTTTACAGTATTAAAGTGCATCACAAATAAGATCATATCTCAAAACTAGGCTATGGTGTTCTGCTTAGATATAAATTTACAGAAATCTTGCATTTTTCCTATACATCATGCATTGGAATGCTTTTTAAAAGGATTAAACCCAACATTGCTTCAAAGAACAGTCCTTTTCAAGCATCCTTTTTCTGTGCTCTACAGAGGTCCCCACTTTTAAGCAGAATCTACAAGAATGTCGCTTTGTGGACGCAGGGAAACAACTGATCATCCGAGAAGACCGTCTGTTTGCGTTGAAGCAGGAAGGTATCGGATCCAAGAGGAAGCTGGTGGAGGAAGAGGAAGATTCAGAGGCTAGACTAGCAAAAGACTATGAGGACCTGCTTGAGTCGGTGATGCGGACACTGGAACAGTCCCTCGACATCCAGAGTGCCGAGAAGCAGGAGGCACTGAAAGATGCAGTCCAGGCTGTTCTGCAGGAGGAGGAGCAAGACACACGCTGGGAAGGGTTTCAAGAAAAGGGACGCCCACCATGGAGGCCGAGGCGGTGTAAACAGAACCACGAGGCTCTGCTTGAGCGACTTGTTCACAGGCGGATGGAAGAAGCAGAGTTAGACTCCAGCGTTGAGATACAATCCTCCATGGAGCAGTCGATCATTAGCAAAGCAAAACGCCTGAAAGAAGACTTGCTGGAAGTTGCGACGTGGGTGCACAGCTGCTACCCAGAACAAGAGAATGTGTGCCAGTTTTATGCCACACTGTACCATAACACCTTCAGTGCCAAGTTGAGAGAAGTCGCAGAGTACACACTTTGTGATGAGGATTGCGTTCTGTTATTGCAGTGGGTGAACCAGCATTACCCCAAGTAAGACAAATGACACTAGACTGTTTTTTTTCTCATAATATGTACACGTTATCTATCTATCTATCTATCTATCTATCTATCTATCTATCTATCTATCTATCTATCTATCTATCTATCTATCTATCTATCTATCTATCTATCTATCTATCTATCTATCTCTCTATCTATCTTCAGTAGATATTAAAGAGATTTAAAGGGATAGTTCACCCAAAATGTAATGTTCTGTCATCATTTACTCACTGTCATGTCGATTATTTCAAATCTGAGAAGATATTTAGAAAAATGCCAATGAAAGTCAATGGGGTCAGGGATTTTTTTTTTTTTTTTTTTAACTCTCATTGACTTTCATTGTATGGCCAAAAACAGTTGAAAGAAAGACATATAGGTCTGGAACGACAGGTAAGTCAGGTGAGTAAATGATGACAGAATGTCTATCCCTTTTTGTTGTGTTTTTCTGGGTTTTGAGGCAAACTTAAATTTGGTCTTTCTTTGTTCGCAGTATTTTAAATGTCAGAAAGATAAAAGAGGTGATCGACCACACAAAGCTTGATCCACTGCTTCCTGAAGACATGATTACACCACTGGAACAGCAGTTTTTGACCAGCAAGAAGGTTTGATGCTTTCTGATACATTACGTTATCCTCAAACAAGGCATTCTCTAATTAAAAATGCACACGTTTGCATACAATTCCTTTGGATAAAGCCAGGTTCAAAATTGTTCTTGTTTCACAGTCCAATGTTTTTAAAGAGGGGATTTTTTGGAAATCTCTTTTTATCAGTCCATAAATTAGAAAAAAAATCACCATGTTTTCAGGATTTGTAAAAAAAAAAATATATAAATCAGGCGAATGTCATTTGACCAAACCCCTCATTAAAATATATAATAAAAACTGTTTGGTGGATAAGTGCTACCAAAGTGGAGATCAGCGCATGAGAAAAAGTATAGCTTTTAAAGATTGTATTGTAATTTAACTCTAAATCTAGAAGTGTAATAAAATAGACATTTAAATGTGCGTTTTGGAGGTTTTCTTTCTACTAGTCTGAAAGAAGGCATAATATGCAAGCAAAATAGCCCAACATCTCATCATGCCTTAAATGTGCTTCCAACACAAGGATTAAGTTTTAATTTGATCACATTATTGTTCACTAGAGGGAAGTGAGCACACACCTCCGCAAAATTCTGGACAGAGAAGAAACAGCCTGGAAGGAGGGAGAACTTCCACAACTGAGGGACCAGGTGTACTGCTGTATTCAAGCCATTGATGTGATCCAGGTAATGAAAAAGAGGAAAAGTAACAATTCTTTCCCTTCATCAAATAATGGATTTTTGGAGAAACATATTTTTTTCTTTTCCCGTTCCCTTTATAGTGCTTTCATGGACATGTTGAAAATACTCAAAAGATCCTAGGTGATGAGACAAAAGTGAGGAATATCACATGCCAGATGAGCAATTTTCTGAAAGAGTGAGTGAATAAGCTGAATCATTTGTTTCATATTCATTTCTGAAACTACATTCTTTTTGAGCATTCCTGCTCTTGTATTTAAGTGAGTACTATATATTTTACACAGATGATTTATTAACTCATATTCCATCCCTACAGTTATGAAAGATTTCATGCAAAGATCATCAAAAGCAGGCAGACCAACACTGAGGCCGTTTTGATGGTCAACCTATCATTTCTCATACAGTGCAGGTGGGTGTCACTTATATTCAGCTGAAATATCACATTTAACTTTTTTGAATTTGTATTGAGTTTCTTTTTCCCCCGCAGGGACTATATTACAAAGAATGCACATCTGTTCCCTGAAGATGTCAAAACAAATTGTCTGTCTTTATTGACTACCATGACAGAAAGCAGCCAACATTACTTTACTTCTAATATGCATAAGGAACTTAAGGTAAAAGCTAAATTTTGTTTCTTTCACTGTTATGTAATGGAAGAAAAAAAATGGCCCTGTTTTTGCTAATGCAGCTCTGTCAAACTTTTCAACATTAATGCAGTATATCCTACAACTTAGCAGGACATTATTTGCTTATAATCTACTGAGTATCCAGAGTTTAAATCCTCACAACTGAGTGTAAAATTAACTCTTATATACGGTTTAAGTACGTAAATAATAGTAATATTATATACGGTTTAAGTAATGTAAATAATAGTAATATTATATGATTAATAGAAGTTTTAATGCATTGAAATGTATAAAATTCATTTTAAAAGGCAAGTTTGGGTAAATAGAATCTGGGTCATTTTTAGAAAATTGTGGCATTTTTGCTAGAAATGTAATTTTTCTTTGTATTATTTCTATAATATAGAAAAATATATACACGACTGATCAAACGTTTGGGGTCATTAAGATTTGTAAAATGTTTTCGAAAGTCTCCGCTCACCAAGGCTGCTTTTAAAAAAAAAACGGAAAAAAAAACAGTAATACTGTGAAATATTACATTTGACTATATTTTAATGTAATTTATTCCTGTGATGGTAAAGCTGAATATCCAGCATCATTACTCTAATCTTCATGATCCTTCAGAAATCATTCTAATATGCTGATTCGCTGCTCAAGGATCGTATTATATCAATGTTGAAAACAGTTTTGCTGCTTACATTTTTTTTTTTTTTTCAGGATTCTTTGATTAATAGAACAGCATTTATTTGTAATAGAAATATTTTAAAACACTATAACTGTAAATACATTTACTCCCACTTTTGATCAATTTAACACATCATTGTAAAAAGAAATTATGACCCTAAACATTTTACCCAAAAAAGTAACTGCTGAACTTCATATTTTCACACCGAAGTATGTACATGTATTAAAATACTAAATTGAATAATGGCTTATAAATGACCCAGACCTCAGACTACTAGACCAACACAATAGACTTTCATTGTTTTCAAAAACCCATTGAGGTAGTTTATCTTGGCAGCGAATACATTCATGTGAGCAGTTGGCTGTCGGGTCCTCATTCTTCAGTTATATAACAAGCCGGAGTTTTAACTTTTATTAACTGCTTGTCTAGTTCATATGAGCGGACTACATAAATACTTACTCAAGCAAGCCTACATCATGACCAGATTCTGCATGTTAGTTTCTTTATGCATTAAAATAAATGCCAATGTATCTGTTCCTGCAGGATTTGTACAGGAAGGTGGGTTCCTACCAGTGGCTCAAGGATAGTCGCGGTGTATGTGAAGAGATACTTGCAAAGCTGGACAGACATATTCAGAAATTCAACAACTTGGACAAAATGTGTTGCCAGGTATAAACATATAGATCAACCAAAATATTGACTTCTTTATTTGCTGTATATTTAATTGGTCATGATTGATTGATTGATTGATTGATTGATTGATTTGATGATTAGGAGCTACTGGGTGGGATGCATAAGGAGTTTCTTGCTGAATATGTACGGAAAATGATGAAGCAAAAGATCATACTTTCAAATAAAGATCAGCAACAGATGGCAGCATCAGAACTGTGCTTAAACAGTGAACGCATACATAGATGCCTGACTGCAGCTGTAAGTACACACACAAAAAAAAACACATCATAAATAAAGGTTAAATTTGTATGTTTTTTTCTTTTTGTTAAAATGCAAGTTTAATTTGCTGAAACCGCAGACCTTATTTCCTTAGAAACCAATATAATGATCCCTTTTGTAACATACATGGCATTGTCTAATTTTCCTCATTCATTCATTATTTCCAGGGATCAAACATGGATTGGTTGAAAGACATTCTTCCCAGATTAGCAGAACTTCTGAAATTACAGGATCCAGACAGTATAAAGTTAGAGCTTGTAAACCTGATGAGTGTTTACCCTGATCTCAGGTATAGTGGATTCTGCTGTGGAGTTATTCTGGCAAGAACGACCGTTGCACTTTCCTCATGTCTCTTTGTTTTTACAGTGACCGTCATATTTCTGCTTGGCTGAGACTCAAGGGAAATCTTTCTACATTAGACGTCAGGAACATCCGGAAGAGCGTCACTTGCAGCCAAGATCAAATCAAAGAAAAGAGCGATTCGCTCCAGTTTAGCAGGAGCTTCTTTTCCATAGTGAGGATTAAATGAATTTTGCTTCATAACATTTGAACATTGCTTATGTAGATTTGCTTGCGCTCAGGCATCGTGCAATCATTTTGTACGTACTGAAATTCTTTGTGAAATAAAATGACAAATCACCATTTTTATATTTTGTGTTATTCCTTTAATAATAATAATACATTTTATTTATAGGCCACTTTAACTTGATTGGATAGAAAAACTATTGACTGGTCAATAGTCACAGAGAAGCTATCAGATTGTGGCGGAGTAGATTTTGTACTTACCAGGATATACCAGAATTTTAGTTTTACCACTATTAAGTTTTGATGAGAAATTTGATGAAAACCAGATTTTAATTTCAGCTAAGCAGCTAGACAGAGAAAGTGGAGAAAAAGTAGTAGGCATGGAAGACATGTAATGCTGGGTGTTGTCAGCATAGCAGTGGAAATTAATACCGTACTTCCTAAAAATATGTCCAAGGGGCAGTAAATAAATAATAAATAAAAGAGGGCCCAAGACTGAGCCTTGGGGAACACCATGCAGGGGCCTGTTTCAGAAAGGAGGTTAAGTGAAAACTCTTGAGTACGTTAACCCTGAAATGAGGAGAACTCTGGGTTTTCCATTTCAGAATGGGAGGTGTGTCAAACCCGAGAAAGCAGAGTAAGTCAAGCCCGTTTCTGAAAGAGAGGTAACTTATACTCAGAGTCAGTTACCATGGTAACTAACCTGGTCAGGAGCAGGTTCTCTCATGTAAACCCAGAGTTTTTCTTTTAATAAATGCATCTTGATATAAGAATCTTTAGGTATTTTGACTGGAAACAACAAGACAAAAATGCTAAGTAAGAAAAGCATTTTTTGCAGTGCAGTACATTCATTCATTGCACATTTTTCTATATAACAACGGAGAGAGCACATTAGTAAGGCCACTGTATCAGAGTGGGGAGGAAAGTGTCCCTCGCTCTCACGCTCTTTCGGAGAGTTTTTGTGTTGTTTTCTGGACACAAACCCGTGAGATCCATCAAAGAGAAGTTTCACAGGATTGCAGGACAGTGGTGGAGAAATCGGTTTAAATGAGACTAATTTGATAAATGACGTTCATTTGATAACATCTTGCTGTGACCTCTGAAAGTAACTTAATAATTAGAATATCCTTTAGGATTTCCAATGTGTTTGGATGACACACTCCCATCATCGCACCTTCCAAAAATGAAATTACTGTATGGAATGGAAGGATGCCAGATGGAAGGGTAGAGATATATGCCGTAACCACGACCACAGCTGTTAAATACACACTAATTATTTACAATTTATTTGGTCATCTTTATTTCCTAAAATACAAAAGGAACGGTTATTCTTTTTCCTGTTGGATTTTAATATTCTTCCAATATTGTGTTTCTCATTTTCATCTATCAGTGGTGGTGCAGGTCCAGCCTGTGCCTTCTTGCTGTTGGCCCAGTAGAAGTCAAATGTTAATTTCATTAGCCTAAAAAAAGGTTGGATTAGAGAACATTTAATTATGTCGCCTAACGATTACAGCTCCATTGACTACCTGTACCAATCCATTGATGAAGTCAACAGTTGGATGTATCAAAAAGTTCTTCAGTTAAAGACAAAACTGAAGTCATTGCGTTTGGAAACAAAGATGAAGTTCTCAAGGTGAATGCATACCTTCACTCTAGGGGTCACCGTCAAACAACTAAAAATCAAGTCAGGTGTGTCTCTAGAGTCAGACCTTAGTTTCAGTAGTCATGTCAAAGCAATAACTAAATCAGCATACTATCATCTCAAAAACTGCAAGAAATAGATGCTTTGTTTCCAGTCATGACTTAGAGAAACTTGTGCATGCTTTCATCACCAGCAGGGTGGATTATTGTAATGGACTCCTCACTGGCCTTCCTAAAAAGACCATAAGACAGTTGCAGCTCATAATAATAATAATAATAATAATAATAAAACCTTTATTTAACCAGGTGAGCACATTGAGAACACTTTCGCATTTACAACGGCGACCTGGCCAAAAAAGCGTTGAGGTACATAAATCACACATACTTACAAGACAAAGTAGTACTCAATAAACATAGAAGATTAATATACAGATCCGTAGATCATGTACACAGACTCATGCAGAACACTCCTGCCAGGATTCTGATCAGAACCAGAAAATATTAACATATCACACCAGTCCTCAGGTCTTTACACTGGCTCCCAGTTACATTTAGGATTGATTTTAAAGTATTATTACTGGTATATGAATCATTCAATGGCCTAGGACCTCAATAATTTGCAGATATGCTCACTGAATATAAACCCAACAGATCACTCAGATCATTAGGATCACATCAGCTAGAAATACCAAGGGTTCACTCTAAGCATGGTGAGTCCGCTTTTAGCTACTATGCTGGAACCAGCTTCCAGAGGAGATCAGTGTCACGGGTGTGGTGCAGGTTGAAGGAGATGCAGAGCCAAAAGGCTCCAATTCAAACATTTACTAATAATCCCAACAGGTACAGACAGGTAGAAGTATTCACACACAAAACCATGTAACATAAACAAGAACCAACAAGGACTGATTGAACAGAGGGAAACTAAATACAGATACAAATGAACACTAACGAGGTGATGACAGGTGACACGGATGAAGACGATGAACGGGTGTGTAATGAGGTAGTGAGTTCAGGTGTGAAGACACGAGGGATTCTGGGAAGTAGTGAAGACATTGGCCCAATCCCAAATGGCACACTTCATGTGCACTTTCAGTCTTGTGGACTTACAATGGCTGCCGCGTACGCGTGCGCGTGTCCGTTAAGTCCGTGAGACCGTAGTGTGTCCATAGACAGTATAAGAAGTGGACAGAGCCATCTCATTGGAACTCAGTTGAGACAGTTGAAGCCCTTTTTAGCGTTTTTTGAGCACTTCCGTTCCTGACGCGCAGACTCAAACCGACTCAAACTAAGCTTGATGACGTGAGCAACCTGTCTGACAGACGTTAATCTTCTAGTAGCTGTGCGTGAAAATTGCCAACGTTAATCTTGCAGAGACGGGGAACTTGAGCAAAGAGTTCTTTGGCGTGAGTGAGCAGGAGTAAGTATTCCGTTGCTTTTATGGACTCATTATCTATGGGCTTCTCCCTTGACGGGACGTCCCCCCGATTGCCTGCGAGCTTCTCCTCCTGTCTGTACGGTAATTTCTGTTCAGCGCGACAGAGAGTCGAGTGGTTATGACGCAATCGTTAGCCTATTTTTACTAAATCTGTTTCTACGGGGCCATAATGTAACATAGAAGGTAATGGAGCCCTTTATACATTGTCGTGTTTCTTTAGAAATAAATAATGGACAAATGGAGTCTTTAAACGCCTCAGATGTAAAGTTATTCGCTGTCAAAGTGACGCCAAAATGAATGGGAGTCAATGGAAATGCTAACGCAAGTGAAGTTCTGCTACAACATGGCGGCACCCGGCCGGCTTCAACTTCCGGTCGATGGATTACCCCCTTGAGTGTGTCCCATTTGTCATTTTTAGATCTCAGAAGGGTGCTCGCGAGCGCCCCGTGTGGTCGATTTGCGCCCTTGATGCGCACTTTTGCCGAGCCCGTGCTGATGCGGACTCCACAGCAGACTTCTTCCCGACAGTCAAAGCGGCATTACGTTACGAAAGTGCGGACTCAGAGGAAGACCGCGAGTGCTTAGGGTTCCATTTGGGACAGGGCCATAGACAGAATGGTGCAGACGATGACTGTGACAATCAGATGTGCTCCTACAGTAGTCACATTTAAATCCAGACTCAAAACACATCTATATAGCAGTGCATTTACTGTATGAGCACTGTGCCACTGAGTCAGACTGTTTGTGCTGTATTTTATTTTCTCTTTTTTATTCTAATCTGTTTTAATTATTCATATTTCTTTTGATTATTAAAAAATTTTCTATGTAAAGCACTTTGAATTAGGCCTATCATTGTGTATGAAATGTGCTATATAAATAAACTTACCTTGCCTTGCCTATGTGAAAAGAGCATTATACTATGTGGAATCAGCTGCTGCACATTGAAATAGACACTGAATTATATTTATTTAATATGTCAAATGTTTGTCAAGTCATGTAGCCTACAGCCATGAACCTTTTATGCTTAAAGATTTAACTGATTGAATTATGAATTTATTGTTCATTTTTAGTTGCTGCCACTTTTTTTTTTTTGCCTGTGGGATAGGCCTACCATGAAAATGACTTACCTTTCTGTCCGTTTTCACCTGAGAATATAACAGTGATTAAGAATTATACTTGTGTATTGACTCGGAAGTATGTGAACGTCTTTTTGTCGGGTGCTGTTGCCATGGTGAATCGTAATTTCGGAGATCCATTGATCATGGCTTTTCATAGTCGTGGTGCACGTGCTTAATGCCTGGTTCAGATTACACGATTTTTTTTTGTCTGTTACGATAGTCACTGTGTCAGATTACGCGATTTTGACTCCTAAAATCTTGTCGTGTCGTTGACAAGAAACATGTCAGACTACACGTTGCTTCCTGACCAGTCATCGCGTGCCGTCTGTAACGACGCGCGTGATGTCATCGAGAAGGCGAAACTAGTAGCGAGTGACTTCCGGAAACGAACGTAAACAAACAATGGATGAAGCAGTGAGTGTTGGCTGTCCTGTGTTCAGAAAAACGTAAAAAAAGAAAGAAAACCCGACAATGAACACGTTCCTGGATTGCTCGAAGAGGACAGTATGGGCTGTCAATCCTCCAAAGAGAACTTGAGGTAAAATATTGTTTTCTGTTACTGTTCCACAGCTCCACGAACCTTTCCTCCATGTCATAACTCCACCTAGTAGCACCATCGTCTCTCTTTCGTTTCGCCATTTTTGAAAGTTGTGTACGGAAAAGCTTCTGTGCTCCTATAGCTTCTGTCAGGGGCGGATCTAGAAAAATATTTATGGGGTGGCAAGAGGGGGGCAGGAATTTTTGAGGGGTGGCAACATGGCAGACGTATATATATACTAAATTTAATCACAGTCAACACAGTTTGATGAGAAATCGTATGTATACAAAAGGGCATTATTTGTATTATTATTTGTATCTTTTTTTGTGGGGGGGTTTGGGGTCACCTGTGAGTACAGGGCTGGACTGGGACAAAAAATCGGCCGGGGCAT